GCCTATCCCTGGAACAATGCCATAACCTTGCAATGCTTTCATCCTCGGTATCCGCAAATTGTGTCCAGCCTGCAGGCTCGTCTCTCAATTGGTAACTGCTAAGTCCTGCTTCAGAAAAAAATGCCTCATGTTGCCAGGGCCGCAACTCGAAAACAAGTAGGACAGTACAACAAAATACCCTTCAACGTGCAACCCCCTTGCCCCTTTGTATGGCCTGTTTCTTTTGAAGAGTAACACATCTTACCACCAGCTTCCACGAACAAAAGTCGCACCTCACAAGTTTCTCATCCCCCTCCAGCTTTATGTTTTTGAGAATTGTGTCCTTGTACAGGAGGACCAGGTTGGCCCCCCCGGAGCACAGACCGTAGTGCGTCAAGTAAACCACCACGCTGTTGGGCACCAGGACCTCCAGGCAGGGAGGGCGAATCTCCAGGACCTCCTGGGTCAGGCCCTGGACATCATTCATCGTCTCCGGGCGAACGGCGTCGCGGCAAGACGGCTCCTTCAATCTGCACGCAACGCCAAACGCGGGCGCACGTTAGCCGTCAGCCAGCCACCCGGCACAGAAACTGGCGATTAAGACCCCACCGCGCACGACTGCAGCGTGGCATCTGCCGCGATCACCCCGCCAGGCCGCACGCCGAGACCGCATCCAGTTTCCGTCACCACTGCGCCCGATAAACCGAGAATCCGCCGTGGTTATTGCGACGAGTGTGTGCACAACACGCAGCGCCACCCCAACGAGGCCACACAGATCGCCACCGCGCTGGCACCCCGCCCGCCCGGGGGTCCGCGGCCATCGACCCAACACAATGCAGGGCGAGAATGGCCGCCGTCGACGACATCTCCCCTCCGGGAGGACCCCCCCCCCCCCGGTGGAGAGAGTCTGCGTTCGGCACCTTCGGCAGGCGCGCAAACGGCGCACCCCTCATGCCAAACGCCAGGGCTCCCGTCGGCGCGTGCCGCAGCCACGGTGGGCTCCCGTTCCTCGTTCCACCGTCTACGGGGCTCTGAACGACCGGCCACGCAGTGGGCGCAACCGCGCCGGTTATGGCGCGCAGAGAGCGGCCATCGCGGCCTGCGCCGGAGGAGGCAGCCCGGCGATCCCCGGTCGTGGCAACGGGCGGGGATTCACGGCGGACCGCCCACCAGGCGAAGGCTTTTATGTCCTCTGGTAGACCCCATTTGCTCGCCTCCGAGGTTGGTCTCGGAGCGGGCTGGCGTTCCGAAGGGCGGGGGGTGGGCTGGGGCGCGCACGAGACGGAACGGCCCGCCCCCACGCCCTGGTCGTCCAAGGTTCAAACCCCCACGACGCAGGCGTTCAAGGTTCCACCCGGGGGACAAAAACGGTCACCGAATGCGCAGAAATGCTCCGTGCGCGGATCCTTCGCCCCAGGCTCGACGCCAAGTCGCACGCCCTTTGCGGGCGGACGCACAGAGCGACGCGTGCGCGTCCTGGGTCAAGACGGGGCGGGCCGCCGCCCGCCGCCGGCTGGGTCGTCACGGGGGCATCTTTTCCTTGCCATTCCGCGCCAAGTGGACCCCGGTCTGCTGAACGGGCCGTCCAGGGGCGCAAGGGGCGCCGCACCTTCAGCAGCAGCCATCGCGCGGCGCCCCGCCCTTGCTGGCAGACGGACCAGACGCGCGCAGCCCGCCCCTGGGTTCCCGAACACGGGGGCCCGGAGACGCGGATCAGGGAGTCACAACATCGGAAGCGCGGCGCCCCAGTCCCTGCACAGCCGGGCGTCGCCGCGGGGCTGAGGGCCAGGTGGGGGCCACCGCCAAATCGAGCGTGGGCGCCAGGCCTTGACGGGGCCACCCCGCATCCCATCGATGCGCGGGTTGGGACCCTTTCCGGTCGTCTGGCAGTCACGCGCGATTTAGTCACGCTGTAGTCACGGGCTCTGGCCTGCGGGCGCCCGCTGCCAGCCGCCAAACGCGCGTGGACCCTCTTGCGGGATTCGACTCTCGCTGGAAGCAGTCGTGGCGGTGAAGGAGTGTGGGGGGGTTCGGAGACTTTCTGGGGATGTTCGCGGTCGGCTGGATTACGTGGGTGCACTGAGGGAATGTTGATGGAATCAGGAAAGGCGCGCAGGACGCGTCGTGGCATCACGAGAACGCTGTATTGGTAACGTAAGTATTCAGCCCTTCCTCTGCAACAGACGCGCGGTAGCGTCGTGCGCATGTGCGCGCCCGTTGAACGCTTGTGGGAGCAAAGCGGACTGAGTTCGGCAGAGCACAAGCTGAACTCCAGCTCCAAAGACAGCGACAGAAAGCGCGTGGGCCCAAACGAAAGTCCAACTGCAAGCCCTCATTCCGTGGTCAGTCCGACTTTTTGCAAGCCGGACTTTCGGTTTGTAGTCGAGGCACTGTGCTCTGCAACTAGCGAGCCAGAACACCATCGGCCGTTGCATCCCACGGGAGTGACACAAAACTTGGAGCGCCTCGTGCTGTTCGACCAAAGAGAGACTAACTATAGCAACCATGGCGCACATAGTGCTCGCAGGCGTTTCGATGCGCTTGGTTCGACATAGTCAGAAACTCAGCTGGTCTTCCAACACCAAACCAAGCGAAGCCCCACACAGCCTCGGACTCTCTTCAAATACTCGATTGTCTCCAGTCTGAAAACTGCTTTCCACTGTGAATCCCATCACGAAATGTACCCATCGTGCCAGCACATGAATCGCAGAAATGCCACCCGCCGTGTCCCAACTCGCGACAATTTTAAACTACCACAGGTCCACAATCGTGGCAGCGCCAATTCACTAACCAAGCATCCCCTCATGGCAGAATGCCCATAGTACTGGCAGCCAAAGTAAGTAGAATACCCGGCTTCAGATCCAGTGCATGTTCATCTATCGCACTGTGTTATCCTTAGCAAACACACTATATCGATTTCTGGTATGCTCATCGTCAAACTGAAGCTCAGCTCAGACTGCTCCCCCTCCTCTGACATTCCGAGCGTTCATAACCTATCATAGGGTCCCACCTGGATGCAGAAAGAAGTGTAGGGCAGTAGGATTGGCGGCATGCGTACAAAGCAAAAGATCTAGCCGTTGCAAAGGTCGTGCGTTGAAAACTGTGCACCTAGCTGATCCGTGCACATGCAAATAATTTGCTGCACGCACAATTATTGCTGCATGTGGCAATGCTTCGTTGCTACAATGCGCATGCTGCCTTTGGCGGGGGAATTCTATGTCTACTCCTCCACCATGATGACAATGTTAACAATGTGGTACTTTCCCATAATCGCTTGTTAGCGCCGGTGCCAAGAGCAAGAATATGGGTGTCTTCGAGGTCTCGCGGCAGTTTGCAATCACGGGTATTGCGTATTGCCTGGAGCCCAGTGTGTGGCCCTGCGTAGCTGGCGTGAAGTACATCATGGGAACGGTCCTTGACGTTTGTCTTCTGTTCCTGGGTGTGACAGTGGGCGACATTGCATTGATTGCTGACGTGTTCCGTTATCATAAACGCCGAGGATGGGAATCTGCCAGCACCTTGGCCATTATGTGAGCCGGGCATGAAGAGGACACCATCCAGCACAGATGTGAGGTGCGCGATTCACGCGGCAAGGGCAATAGATATTACACAGAGGCAATCGATCCGCATCAAAATTCGCCAGTTAAATGCCAGCTCGCTGCCCCTCATATTCGCGTGGACGACTCACCACAATTTGTGTTGACTTGTTTGATTTTTCAGCAAAAGAGCGATTCGGAACAATGCCTGTGAAACATCCCGACGGTCACATTTTCTAGAAGCCTCCAAGTTTTGTTCTCATGGGTTCCCATAACGACATCCCGACAATCGCATGCTCCAAGCAAATCGCCCCTTTCCGGGCCACAGCCTCAACCAAAGTGTAGCCGCGCTAAATGCAACTCGAAACCACCCTCCCTGTCTGCGAACTCCGTCTTTTCCTCCCTCGTCGGCTGCCTGAACACGTTGACCTCCACCAGTTTTGACCGGTCTTTGGTGAAGGACATCATCGACACACCGGTCACCTTGGTGTTCTGACGGGTTGCGCTGTGGCCGTGAAACCTCCCCAAGTTTGTCATGGAACCCGTCCAGTGCACAAACAGCCTGTTCAGACCACACACGCACGGAGTCACCGGGCATTTGACATGAAGGCACGAGTCCGCTGATTCACTCGCCTTGATCCCTTGGGTAGGATCGACTCCTCGGCGTCAGTGAAAGCATCGGATTTCCGCTGGTGCCGTTACAACCCACTCGAAATGCAAAAACGCTCTGGGGCAAACCTGTCCGCCGATTTTCAGGCAGCACTGTCGCACCGTCGGCGTTCGTGAAGTTGGCGCCCTGGGGCAAACGCCACCTCCGCTCCCACAAATCCGTATCCCCGGCGCAATTCGCAAGGGCGGCGCCTTGTGAAGTCAAACGGGAATGCCATCAGAATGTGAGAAAAAGGGGTGCAACAGAGACTGCAAGCTGAAGTCAAACGCCCATGTTCGCTCGCCTGCTGACCCTCCCTGGTAATGAAGGCAAACAACATCTCGGGGCCTCGCGTGCTTCACCTGTCCGCGTCGCTCGTGCCGTACTCGACGGCCCGCACGACCAAGTCGGGGTACGCGGCGCGCGTGTCCCGCACGAAGGCCTTCATCGCCGACGGGCCCGCCACCAGCCGCGAGGGGTTCCATATGCTGTCAGTGTGCACGAAGGCCGCGTCGCAGATGTCGTCCGCCACGGCCAGGTTGCCCCTGGACCACAGCTCCCCGAAGTACAGCCCGCAGACGTCCACCATCTGCCGCACCCTCCAGTCTTCGATCTCCTCTGAATCTCGCAGGGCGACCACGGGCATGGCGACCGCCCCTCTGCGCCGCCCGCCGCGGCGGCCCCACCGCCTGGCATGGAACCTCCGGCGCCGGCAATCGACGGGACAGGCGCCCCTCGCCGGCGGCAAGGCGCCCCTTCCAATCCGATTGCATGATCTGCCGAAAAGACAAGTCGTCGAGGAGAAAACAGCCATTTTCGTCGCCACGTCGCCGCCGCGAGAAAATGCCACGGATGCGAGAATTCGTCGCTGCCCGTTGGCGGCGAGCGCCGATTGATTCAAGGGGTTGGCGTGGGTGTTGCGACCGGAGGGGGGCGGCGAGCCCCGGGGGGAAGGGCTCCGCTGTCGGGGCCCGTCTGGGTCCGGGGCCACGCGCGGGAGGTGGGGGTTGGTGGGGGTGGGGCGGTGGCTATGCCGGGGGGGATGCAGCGGGGGGTTGATGTGGCAGGCGGGTCAGCGAGGCGTCAGCCGTGCGATCATGTTAGGGCTCCGCAGTAGCGACCCGTGAGGGGGAGGCGCAGTGGTGGTTTGGTGGGGAAGAATATATTTGTGCCCCGTGCCTTTTCCGTGAGGATCCCTTCGTCCGTTGACAAGGCCAGCGCTGGTCAGGGGGTCAGGGGTCAGTGATTTAGGGTTTAGAGTGTCCGAAAAAAGAAGGGATCTTCACGGAAGACAAATTTCATGCTGGTGTTTGACCACCCTTGGGGTCATGCATGCATGCCTTCCATATGCAAACCACACGGTTTGCCAGTGGGTCGGTCGTCGCAACCAGAGCAGTGGACTTGCGCCTGCACGCTAAACTCTTAGATGGTGTGGATGTGTGCGCATTGGCAGCTTGCAACGGTGGGTGTACGGCAGTGGAGTCAGGAGCAAGTTTAACTGCTCCCACGAGGAGCAAGCGAGCCACCTGCGACTGAGGCACCCGAGGCGACTGTGCAGGCCCCGAAGCCACACCAATCTCATGTCACTGTACAGTCACATCCCTACACAAACGTGAGGATAAGTGTGGCGTGCTGTGAACGTGAGCCATCATGAGTTATCATAATTCACAGCCACTGGCTGCAGTCAAGTGTTTGGCAAGGAGTTAAACTTGACCAGCATCAACGATTTGAGTCAGCAGGCACTCTGATGGCCAAGTCAACCAAAAAAGGAATAGCTGCAATGCGGCAAAAGAAAGGGAATTTGAACAAATCCCTCATGCCGCCCATGCGCGGCTTGGAACACATCAACTGACAGGACAAGAATGCGCATCGCCGGACATCGCAGAGTCGCTATTCACGTGGGCATGAATCCATGGCGTCTGTAGGACCTCAAGATCGGCAATGCTGGGCACAGGCAGCAGCGTTCATGGTGACTCTCCAGGATCGTTGTTCCGCTTGTGCTCAGCATCACTGATCGAGAGAATTGCACACTGCACCCTCGATGTGGACAATCATAGTGTTGCACTGTACACTACGCTATATTGCACACTTTACACTGGGAGGGTATGGAACAATGCAGTGTTTTTAACCGACCAATGCTCCACGACAGCAACCCGCTTCATCATCATCAACAAATCTTGGATATCGAGGCGAGGAGAAACCCATCTTCTCCCTGTTTCGCTCGAGTAAAGCAGTGTCATTGATGTCTTCCATGAGACCCTAAGGTGGGATCTTAGGTATTGCCACAATCCAAGCACTATGTTGCTATGGATCAGAACGCACAAATTCACAAATTCGTTATAATCAACCATCTTCACCCATTGTTTGCAATCCGGTTCATGCAGCACGCCCACAAATGCATGCAAAGATGAATACAGTCGCAATGCCAACAAAATGTCATTCCCATGGGCAGCTGCGCCAACAGATATGAGATGATGACGATGCGAAGTCGTGCAGTTTGAAATGTATGTGTTCACATTTTGTCAGCTTCCATTTTCCACTTTAATGTATAGCACTTCATGCGCCACCGGCTCCCACATTTCGATGATGGCATTTCTGATCAGGCTTGTTATTTGCGGCACAAACATAGATAGCACTTACGTTTTTGCGTGTAAAAACAGTACTTATGTTTTTAGGCATAAACACGCGTAAAAATTGCATACTGCAGGCCCGCGTGCATAAAGGCAGCGCATAGAGACGCAGGGAATCCAAGAACGACAGCTAGACGCGCTGGAGTGAGAAAAAAACGACTGCTGTTCGATGGCATTGTTACCGTTGCCGAAGGCGAGGTGGACGCTGTGTTGCCTATGCTCGAGGTGGCAGAGAGGAGTCACCATAGTATGCGACTTCGCAAACAATCGTAAACGCAAAAATAAATAGCAAGCTATTGCTAGTTCTCCCTTCAATGCACAATGGCTCGATTAGAAGCCTTCCTTAGGCAATGGGAGTGGCGTGAACTCCAGCCCACCCTACTCACACTGGTTTCACAACCTGCTTCTGAAAAGTCGCCTGCGGGAATCCGCATTTGCACTCTGGTTGCGATTATGCAATCGACGCAACTGTTAATTGACCACCATAAGGATTGTGGCAAGAAGCAGTCCTAGTTTAGTTAGACCTTTTACTAGTTCAGTTAAACTGTTTTCCTTGAGTACACTCACGAAGTAGCCTACAAATATTCGCAATTTGTAAACTATGAGATTCATGTCAGACGCTTGCCAGGATTCATATTAACTTTACAGCGCAATTGGATTCTGCCCACTCAGCGAATGTGCTGTTAAGAAATCGAATTCGCTGCAAAATATTGCGTTTCGCCAATTTTTGCTGCATGCTGTGCAACTCACAAAGTGCAATTCAAAAATTTATATGACTTCGATGAGCCTGGTATGCTATAATTTCTTAAATGATGCAGATTGGTGGGTTGGGTCATTGAATCGCACCTGCCAAAAGACATGGTAAATCACGGTAGCCCAACCTTGAAGGTGGTGCCGGGCTCCATGGTCGAGTGTGCCCGGCGGGCTTAGTCCGATTTGATACTTGCATTTCTAAGGTAGCCACATTGTAACTTATGGATGGCCGGTTGCTATATCATACCGTAGTTGCTTTGTGGACCACTACAGCGAAATTATCAGGACACATTTCAGAGCTGAAAATGCTAGGAAATACCATTCAACAGCTCCTGGACTCGCTTCACGAACAAGATGATACCCCCTTCCTGTTATTTTCCTGTGTCGGCATGCATACTTTTCTTTACCTTTTTCTCAGGACCCCGAGAAATCGTTGAGCAGATGTAAGAGGGTTTGAGGCCCAAAAGTCGAATATGTCCGTGAAGGATTCGTGTACCAATTTTTCGATTCCAAGACAGAAAATGCCATAGTGAGAATCTGTTTTGGCAAGGGGATTCCATGCCCAATATATGGCCTCCTGGGAATCGAGATCCTCAGCGCTGCGATCCCCGCTTTACAAACTTATTCTCTTTTGCAACCAGTTTTGGAACGGTGACATAAACGGGCAACCCACGGGGTGAGCCACAGATGAGTATCGCCCAGGCACACGTGAAGCGTAAACGAACAGCCCTTGACTCGATTCATGTCCACCATGCCGAGTCGCAAACGATACATCAGTTGACAAGCACACAATGCACACTTCGAAATACTGCGTTTGTTTATGTAAACTTCTTGAATTGAAGTGCGCTGAATTGGTGGATCACCCGATTTCATCATCATCCACCGACGGATAATCTCACCATAGGAATCAAGACCACAGCACCTGCGAAATGCCGGTGCCGTGCGCCCTTCCCGCGTGTGCAACCGTTCGTCCCGCCGGAGCCGCGGCGGGGGGCAGCGCGGGGGGCGGATGCCGGGCTCCTCCAAGCCCTCCCGCAACTTCACCTTCTACCTGAGCTGCGACATCGACATCCATGTCCAGCTCAAGGTCGTGAGCCTGTGCGGGCCCCTGCCCTCGCAGAGGGCCTTCCCGGAAGCAGCGGGCGACGACCAGGCGCCCCGCAGGCCATCGTCCGTCTACGTGGTGGCGCGGCTGTGCGATGGCGGAGAGACGATGGGGCTGGATACCCGCAGCCGGTACTGGGACGCCGGCCCGCAGGGATGCCGCATGGGCGAGTGGCTCTCGTTCTGCGTCAAGTACAAGGACCTGCCGGACTCCGCCGTGCTGGCTGTGTCGGTGAGGGGAGCTAACTGCCCGCGGATCGAGCCGGCCCTCCCGGCGGCGCCGCGGTCGTCCGCGAGGGATGTGGGGTTTGAGTTTTAGGATGGTTTGGAGGCGAGCTTGCGAACCCTTTCTGAGCGAAAAGTTGGGTATTGTGCAACTGTCAAGGACATTGGTGGTCTTCTCTTTGGGCATCGGGATGGTAGGGAGGTGCACATATGAGATTGAACTGTTCGCAGGCAGTTTTGTGCTTCCTACGCAGTCAAGAAAACGCTGATCATTTTCTTGCAGTGGTGGTCCGTGCTTGTCCAGCAGAAATTTGGAGTTTTGTCAGCAAAATCATAAAATCTTGAGAGTGAATTGTTTGACGACGCAGGATATGACTGTGCTGTTGTATCTTGCACTGTGTGCAGGCATGGGAGCTTGCTGAAGCCAGAGGCCTTGCATTGGTGGGTGGGGCCACCATGCCCCTCTTCAACAAACGTAGCAGGTTAAAAACTGGGGAGCACAAACTAAACTTGTGGCCTGGGCAAGAGGCAGATCCACACTGGCCATCAGCCACACCTGGAAAGGTGCCCATCGCGGAGCGTGGGGAGATGGGCCGACTAGAGAACTTGAAGAAACGATATATAAGGTGAGCAAAAATGTTTGCAGTGAAAATTTCTTGGCGAGCTTGCGTTCCCTCCAAGCTCAGGCATACAATTATGCCAGATATGTTTTCACGTAATGAGATCCAAGCTCAAGTTTGGCCTTGCTTTCAATACGATCTCAGAATGGGATCATCAGGATATTGGTTGCAACTTTTCGGCAGATATGCCAAGTCAAGTGGCCAACTGCAGGGACATAACTGACAACCTATTTTGCAGTGCCAATGAGCAAAGTGCGTTGGCTGTATAAATGGACAGATTCCTTGCCCTTGTTCACACTCTTGGTAGTGTGGACCATCCCCCACCCCTGTGTTTCAATCCCTTCCCACTGCTGCACACCAGTTTTGTTGGTGCCGGCGATTTCTAGAGCATATCGAAGCAGACAGGGCATGTCTGCAAGACCTCTGCTAGGAAGAGGGAGCCCATGGTGCACCGATTTTCGAGAACAGTGCTCCTTTGGTGTCCTAGATGTTCATTACGCGAATGTCAGCGCATCTCAATCCATGCTCATCCCCAACTACGTTGTAGCATGAACCGTGGGACATAACAGTGCTGAACTGTCCAGAACTGTATGTCAGCCGGAACATTCCCATTGTAGTAGTGGAGTTCCAAATGAACCAGAGAGATATGAGATATGGCCATGCACTTGCACCAGCAACCCTGCTTATGAGTGCCATTCCTTGCAGAAGCAAGGCTGTTGCCCGGTAGCATGAAGAGTACATATCTTTGATGCGAGCAAGGGGTTGTTTCAGTATGATGTAAGGGTGGCACAGCAAGTGGACGTTCCTCCAGTCTTGAGACTGTTGGTTGGTGGGTGTAACTTCTGCTTTCTCGCGAATCGCTGTGTTTCACTTCTCACTCAAGCAGCACAGTAGAGAAGTTGATTCTGTACAGCGTGTGCGTGGCCAAAGTGTTGTGTGTGCATCCAGTCATTCCATCCTGCAAACAGTACGAGCCAGTGTGCATGCGCCTGCAAAGCGATGTATAGCACGATGCTGTGCACACAGGGTCCCAGGCTCTATCTGCATTGTGCAGTCATTTTGCAAAGTACTACGTTTCATTGCTCACCGTGTGCATTGCAGGGGGGACATGCAGCGGGTGGAGTGGCTCGATCGCCTCACATTTCGAGAGATTGATCGGCTACTCAAACAAGAGGGGCAGCTGCCGTCTAGTCGGGAGTGCCTGGAGCTGGTGCTGCAGTTGCCCCGATTCCCTCACGATGTGTTGTACCAAAGCCCCCAGGATGTGCAGCAGCCTCTGCCACCTGTGGCCCAGATGCACAGGCAGTCGAATGGTGGTCCTGAATCTAGCGAAAACAAGGACAATATGAGGATGAGGAGGGTGATCCTGGACCCTGAGGTGGGCCTGGATAATCCTGTGGAGAACAAGGCACAGAAGTTGGCCAGGAACATAAACCGGGGAATCGTCGACAAGGAGATCAAGCCTGATGTTGAGGAGCGGCGAAGGATCAGTGAAGTGTTGAAGCTGCCACCCAATAAGCCCATCAATGCTGCTGACAGGTTGCTCTTGTGGAAGTTTAGGTGAGGGTTGTTTTCCATTATCCATTTCAGATGCCAGCTCGTGAATCTGCAGAGACAGGATGTACCATGTTGCAAGACAAATGTTGAATGGTAACCTGTGGATGTTTCTCAGCTGAAGGTCCTCTGTTCATATCAGATGACTTTGTGCTGGTCACTTCTGGACCTCGATAGTGTGCGTTGTTCTTCCCAGGCTGGTGTGTGTTGTCTCAACCAGCTATAACTGACACGTGTCTACCTTTGACTAGCATATTGTGAGCATCGATTCAGTGTCCAAGCAAGCTTCCTCAGCACAGGTTGTCTGGGTCATTGCTTCAGTAGTCTTTGCAGATTCAGCAGGAGGTAGTCCTGGGAGCAGAGAAGTCCTGTGAGAGAACTGTGACATTTATAGGGCGTATTCTTGCAGGGTTTGTCACTCAGTTTGGCATTCGATCTGTTGAGCACGAGTAAGGCTTGGAGTTATAATGTTGGTTAACCACTAACTTTTGCTGTGAGTCTATGTGTTTCGGCTGGGCCTTTGTAGGTTGCGCTCCTGGTAGTGCTGATGTGTCCAAACAATGCTATGCCATGTAAGTGATCACCTGTCCCTGCCACCTCAGGTTCTCTTTGACGTCGGAGAAAGCAGCCTTGACAAAGTTCCTGAAGTGCGTGGACTGGTCAGATGCACAGGAGGCTCGCGAAGCAGCAGAATTGATGAACCAGTGGGCAGCCATCGACATTGCCGATGCCCTTGAACTGCTGTCTCCTGACTTCAAGAATCCACAGGTGTGATTTGCTGGGAGCTGACTCATCTACGAAGTAAGCAATGGGTGGAGCACACAGCAACTCAAGCAGGCTGAAACCAGGAAATGGTAGATCGCAGCACAGTGCATTCATTTGTTCTGCAAGCCCCCTGATTGCATTTGTTTTGCAATGCTTTGCAATGTTGTAAGCGACTTTGCTGCGTTTTGCATGGCTCTGTCTGCTATCTACTATTGTCCGTAACTGAAGACTTGGTGTTTCTCACCTGAGTCCCTGCAGCAGCTCTGTTAACTGTAGCCTCTATCATCTGTGGTCAGGTGTCGTTTGTCTTTGGTTGTCCCATTTTCATAGATTGGCTTTGCTGATTTTGCTATGCACAGCACCCTTCACTTCATACCCTAGCACTAGCGAATCCCTCTAGTGGCTGAAGACATGATTGGGGCATCAAAAGGTATGCGACACATTGCAGGCTGCTGGATGACCCTGCTGCTCCTGTGCAGGTGCGAGCCCATGCAGTTGCAGTGCTGCAGAGGGCCGATGATGATGAGCTATTGTCATACCTGCTGCAACTCGTTCAGGCATTGCGATATGAGGGCAGTGACACTGCGCAGCTGTCAGAGTTCCTTACAACTCGGGCAGCCCATAATCCCAGACTGGGGTTCTACTTGCATTGGTGGGTAGGCAGTGGCAGAGAGGTGGTCAACAGAACCTAAGCGAGTGCAAACGATTGTTCAATTGAGAATGGACAAGCATCAAATGTTGCCACGCTGCATTATGGCAAGCAAAATTTTGGGTGCAGATCATCGCTTGCCTGGACAAGGAATGTGTTGCTGCAGGTTTGCTCTGGCAGTGGAGACTCAATGGAGGGCAATGGATGGTAATTTTCCTTCATTTTTACTGGAATTGGCAAAACAAGCAAACAAAGCTCTCTATCGGCAGCCTTGTGGACGTGGCATTAGGAGGTTTACTTCCCCTGGCAGTGACCTCATGCTGGGAGCGATTTGTTGTCTCTCTGATGCTGAAATAGTGTGGTCTCTGACGTTGCTGGGCATGTATCAGGACATCTGTCTGTCCTGCTTGGCGTTCAGTCAGTACAAATTCTGGTATTTGCCATGCAGGTACCTGTTCACGGAGTGGCAGGACCCCTCTTTTGGGAAGCGTGCATCCACAGTTCATGCAATGTTTGTGCAGAAACTACAGGGCCTTCCACATGGTAGTCTTGTGTGGGACAACATCAGACGGCAAATAGAGATGATGGCCCAGCTGGCGCACATAAGGTAATCAAAAGCCGAACCACAATTTAATGCAGCTGTTTCAGAAATGGGCTTTTGTGCAATATCCTGGTACAACAGTGGCTGCAAACATGTTGTGGGACACGTATGAAGGGCACAGGATGCGTAGAATGTTGCTTGTGTGCTGTATGTTGGCAAAATGGGAAGCAGGCATGATAAGCGCAGAGTTGGAGCCCTGCTGCCCTGACAACTCTGATTCCCTTGCGCCCTGGGCAGAGGGGACACAGGAGGGGTCTCTCTGGCCAAGCACTCCTCTGCAGTTATCGTAGCAGGACTCAAGGGCGTGTGGCCTGTGTGTTGTGTTCACAGTAAGGAGCTGAAGGGGTCGAGGGGCAATGCAGCAAGAAAGACAGAGCATCTCAGGGAGATGCTTGGTGAGCAGGGCTCCTGTGCTGAGCTCACTGCTGTGCGGCTGCCACTGCCACTGGAGCCCTCAGTATTTCTCACAGGCCTCATCCCTCAGGACTGCTCAGTATTCAAGAGCGCCCTCTGCCCCATCAAGCTAACTTTCCGATCGGAACCTTATGCGCTAGAGTCATTCTTCACAAGGAGGGGCGTTGGGCAGCAAGGGGGGCCGACTGCATCTGAGGGCGAGCCCCCTGGCCTGAAGCCATATTCAGCCACAGGCAAGAAAGTGGCCACGCCCCACTGCCTACAAGATGGCAACCGCTGTGTGCTCATCTACAAGAAGGGTGACGATCTGCGGCAGGATCAGTTCATGCTGCAGATGATCTCACTGATGGATCAGCTGCTAAAGAAGGAAAACCTGGATCTGAAAATCACGCCCTACCAGGTGGCTGCACTTGTGGCGACCGAGGGTGTCCTATGTTGCAGATAGGACAACTTTTCTTGTGCAGAGTTTGTGTGCCACTGTGCACATGTTGTGCAAGAAGCAAAATTTGGCAAAGTTGGTGATAATTTTCTGTGTTGTAGTCTCATTTATAGTTGTGGTTGGGGTTGAGGGTATGCTAATATCTGAGAAGGTTACAATTCTGGCAAAAGAGACTACAGTACAAATTAAGTTCCAAAGATTGGTCACTGTCTGATTGTGTATGTGTTTTTTTTGTCACCAGGTCCTTCCCACAACGGCTGATGACGGACTTGTTGAATTTGTCAAGTCATCAGCTTTGGCCCGGATTCTGGCTGAGCACAAAACGATCCAACGGTACTTCGAGCAACACCATCCTGACCCAGCAGGACAGTTTGGCGTGAGTGAGAAAGTGATCAGCACGTTTGTAAAAAGCTGTGCAGGGTACTGCGTGATGATGTACATCTTGGGTGTTGGCGACAGACACCTGGACAACCTCATGCTGTGCACAGACGGTCGGCTGTTTCACATCGATTTTGGGTACATCCTGGGGCGGGACCCCAAACCATTCCCTCCACCTATGAAACTCTGCAAGGAAATGGTGAGCCTGTTGGACACAATCTTCTCGTTTGTCCCCTGAACTCGTGTACCAACACTAGCAGTGCTTTTTCTGGTGGTTTACTGATTCACATACACATCACGTTTAAAAAGTGCCTCAATAAGCACTGCATTGTCAAAATCTGCTTGATTGCCAACCCGCTACGTCGCTTGTGGGCTTGCAAACAATTGATGAGTGTTTAACACATGCAACAAGGCAAAGTTAGCCTGCAGGTTGGCACTGCTGCTTTTCCAGTGGTGTATTGTGCAGAGGGGAATATGCACCCAAATTGCACAACCTGCTCGGAAGGTAGGCAACGCTCCTGCCGTCAGCCCATGCCGTAACACGCCTCTTGAGCTGTGTTTCCCACATGTTGTTTTGTATATCCAGTATCATCATTTGTTCCAAATGCGTGACACAACCTGGCCATGCAGTCAGCCGTTTGTGCAATGGGTGCTAGAACACTGTGAGCTGAGCATGGCTTGTGCCCTCAGGTCGAGGCCATGGGAGGCACAGGCAGCCCTCCCTACAAAGAGTTCAAGACGTACTGCTGCGAGGCTTACAACATCCTGCGCAAGAGCGCAAACCTGATTCTGAGCCTATTCCATTTGATGGCTGGCGCGTCCATACCCGACGTGAAAGCCGACCCGGAAAAGGCCATGCTGAAGGTGCAAGAGCGCCTTGCGCTGCACCTGGACGATGAAGGGGCGGTGCAGTGGATCCAGCAGCTCATCAATGAGTCGACCTCGGCCCTTGTGCCCCAAATCATGGAGGCGACGCACCGCTTTGCGCAGTACTGGAGATGAAGATTGATGGTTGAACGTAGGGCTGGTAGCTGGCTTTTCATTGCTGATGGTTGTACGTTATGAGCTGTGTACCATTCGTAGTTGTTCTGCCTGGGACCAGGTGATCGAGGTGCGGTTCAAGCAGTGAATAAATCAGGATGCAAACCCAAGTTGACGGGGCGTTGCATCAGCAGGATTGCTGTTGCGGTGCTCTTGTGTTTGCATAAATGTGTGGACCGCTTGATGCATGCCCAGAGTGTAGCCCTGTTACGTTTCCACACAAACTAGGGGCAGGGAATCAGTCGCTCAGCTATGCCAACCCCAGATAAATAGAAACCTTCAGTGGTATCCAGAAGGCAGGTATGCACTGCATAATGCATTTCATCGGCTGCAGCTGCTCAGTGAGGAACTGAAACGGACAGTGTTCGCGTTCAGCTATCAAAGAATGGCTGCTGCCTTGACTTGTGGATGGTGGTGATTGCTTGCGCTGGGCGGCAATGATGGTTCACAATAGCGCACAGTTCTGTTGGGACCCAATGCATTGGGGACGCAGAGAACATATCACACCCTTGGGTGGAGACATACCAGTCAAGTGCCTGCGCTTCTCCATTGCTGACCAAGGTGACAAAAAATGTCTTTCGACATTTCACACCTATGGAAGGCAGTGGCGATGCAATGCACAGGGGGTGTCTTGCTGCCTTCCAGGAATGGAATGGAATATGAAGACTTCGTCCACCAATGCATTGTGTTTCAACTGAACTGCGTGCTGTGCCAACGGCTCATTTTTGCCGTGCCTGTACATGCATGTTTCAGGACCATGGGCAAGGGGCACATGGCTGACTGTCTAGCCCAGCACATGGTGTGCAGTTCACTGAGAGGCCATCGTGGCATGGTTGTTGTTTGGGCCTTCGATGGAGTACTAACGCGTCCCCAACCAAATGCATTCTGCGCATAAACTGTGGAAATTCATGGAAGTTCATGATTAACGTTCTTTGTCAGGAATGCCTTGCACGGCGTCCAATACACCATGTCATTTCGACCCTAAAGAATCGCCTTGTTATTGGCTGGATTCAGACTTGTTTGAGTTGCCACATGATCGCTATTCGCTGTGCAACGTGTGAGCTCCGGGGTTGTGGACGAAAGCAGGACAAAACTCTTCAGTTTTGCGAGTTCTGAACACATTGTAAGCCCATTTTTGTCTCCGTTTCTCCTGTGGATGTCTGCTCGAAGCTGAGCTCTGTGTCGGCCGACGGTCGAAGCCGACTTTACTTGTGTTCCGATACACATGCCGCCAAGCCTTGGGATGTGCCACTAAGCATCAGGGAGAGCAGGTGCACTCGACTGTGGTCGAGCAGTTATTCTTGTGCCGACTCACAGGGAAATGAAGGCGGCTGCAAAGGCAATACTCAGGACGGAAGAGCCCTCTTGGGTTTCGTTGAATGGTGCACGCGTGCATTAGAGGGCGGACAAACGTATCCATGTGGGTTACTGACATGCACAAGCGAGCATCTATTGGGTGCTACTGTACTTCGAAGTAATTGACTAACTTGCTAATGAGTTTATGGCAGGGGCAACGGTGGGTGGGGTTGCGCTGGCCAGATCTGGGCCGGAGCCGCTTTTTCTGGGGCATTCGGGGCCATGCAAGTCCGGTTTCTGTCACCGCTGTACTGGGGTCCACTTATGCACTGCAGGTGGCAATTCCAGTTGTGTGATGTACGGCTGCAAGTTGCATTTCACCGGCTACAGCTACTCTGTGAGGAACTGAAGTGGACAGTGTTCGCGTGCAGCTGCTAACGAATGGCTGTTGCGCAGGCGCCTCGACTTGTGGATGGTGTTGACTACTTGCGCTGGGCGGCAATGATGGTTCACAGTTTTTGCCATGCCCGTGCATGCATGTTTCAGGACCATGGGCGATGGATAATCAGTTGATCCTTGTATCCTGGTAGTAGTCAAAGGTACCAGGCAAGCTGGCCCTTTGATTTCAAAGGAAGTTTGGTGGCAAGTGGGGTGGCTAATTGGGCGAGACCATTGCTGCCTCCCTTTATCTCGTTTCAACATCAATTCTTCACATCAAATTGCCATTATGTGCTGAGCAAACAAGGGCAGCAAACAACGGCAGCAAACGATGGAAAAAACAATCACAACAAAGGATGGCAGCTAATGATGGCAGCAAACCATCACAACAAACAAGAAGCCCTTGAACTTCATGACATGAAGTGCTTGTTTTCACCCTGTTCGTGTTCGATGACCATGATGTGGCTGCCCAGCCGGGCAGATGAGCCACTGTCAGTTTACGTGTTTTGCTCAGAGTTTGTGTCCCACCCAGATCCCGAGGCACTGGGATCCTAACAAAATGAAACAGCCCAAGGGAATTCCTGCAAGAAAGGTGCACACTCAGACCATATACAGATCTAGCAATCACTTCTGGAGCAGATAGTGGCACAGCAGCAGTGGTGCACTGATCTCTTCAGTGTTGTGCACGTCGAACTCTTAGAGCTACATATGTTCACTGGCCATATTTGTGACTGCCTTGCGTGGCTGATGAGTCACGGCCAGTATAATGGGATTCCCTTCACAGTTTAAGGCCAACCCAAATTCCCAAACACAAACAGCTGATGGATGACGTACAGCCTATTGCTAGGCCAACGAAGACGGCACAAACCAATTGGAAGTTAGCAGGATTGCAAGCAGGTCCTGCAATCACCCTTGGAATAGGAGAAGCTTGTTCGGTGTTTTTTCCACGTCTCTCTTGGCCCTCTACAAGCCTATTCCTTTCCGAATTCCACAAGAAACTAAGTTGCCCCTTTACACGGGCGAGTTCCCTGGCTATACGAGCCAGCTGCAAGCTCTCACCATGCATAAATGATAGCAAAATGCACCAACACTGGTTGCACAACCGTTGGAACAATCTTGCAAGGCGCGCGGCAAGAATGGGACCATAAGCAGGCAGGCTTACATAGAGCAACGTCAAGAACAGACCACCTGCAACCTTCCAGATTTTCAACAACCGGTTGGTATTGATAAATATGCCCAGCCAATCCTTTGGGCTGGCACCTTGACTATGCACACTGCCTAAAGACACCAATGCATCACCAGCATACACCCTAACATCCAGTTTTCCTTTCGTTTAGTAGAAAAGTCTTATGGCTCTATGTGAGTTAATTTTCAAAGACTTTCCCAAACATCTTTTTCCAGCTTTTTCGCAGCTGACGAGCTTGACCCTTTGTCAAAGAATGCCTCTGAGTCTCCTGTGTGTTTTTCTATAGGTTGATCTTCAGAGCAGCTGGGAGACACCGTGATGACGTAACTTTTGTGGCGGGAGTTTGAGCTTCAACTTCTTGGCCTAGTTTTTTAGGACATTTGTCAGCTTGGCTCATGCTATGAACAGCATTGGTTTTCCGAGGCTTTCTGCCTTACCGGTCTCCTGAGCCCACCCCGTCATGTACCCCCATGACAATACTTACAAACAACCATCCAATGTCACATTCCCGAGGTTCCCGTCCGTCAAACTTGCCCATTCGCTTCGCTAGTACTTCAACGCCACTTCAGTGAGTGACTCCCCATGAGTCAGCACCCTTTCCCGTACTTCACTCCCTCAACTCCCTCTCCATCCCACAACTAACCCGAACTCCACTATCCAGGGCGGGAGGGCTGGGTGCGAAACAAGATAAGGAGGGGGACCGAGGGGCTGCCTAAATAGCCGCCCTCCGCCGCCCCGCCAAAGCCCGCCAAACTCGAGGGCGCCCTCGCGGGCGGCACCTCGGAATACCGTACTTCGACTGACCCACGGTACTAGGGGTGGCCAGAAATCCCAAGGGACGGGGTTGAGTAAACCCCAGGTTCAAACTGCACCGTTGAATCGCCGGTGCAGCCCACCCATCGTCGCCCTTGGCAGAAACCCATTAACAGCATAGTTAACTTCATTTCTGCCTTACCGGTCTCCTGAGCCCACCCCGTCATGTACCCCCATGACAATACTTACAAACAACCACCCAATGTCACATTCCCGAAGTTCCCGTCCGTCAAACTTGCCCAGTCACTCTAGGGAACGCGAGGCCCCTCCGGGGCAGAAGATGTGCCCAAACTGCTCATGCAGGTAGCGGGCGGTGATGGTCATCCAACCGAAAAGCCAAAAATCCCACTCAGTGGGTAAACGGAAAATATCTATGTAGGACCACAGCGCGTCTGACTTCCACCCACCCCAATCCCGGATGCGCCGCTCCGCGACCTCCAAGGCGAAGCAGCTGGATGCGCCCCCACCGCGCAGGCCATGATGCGTGAAGGGCTCGTGGGCCAGGTCCGGAAAGTGCGCGAGCAGGGACGTAGACCACGAGGCCACCATCTTGGACGAAGGGGTGGCATCGCCGGGAAGGCGGTAGAAATAGTGCGGCTGCTGGTCCGTTTGCGCCCAGGCGTGATCTCGAAACTGAGTCCAGCGGCGCAAAAGGGCGACGACTTCGGGAGCACCGCGGGAAGGCCACGAGCGGTAGCGCAACCGGGGCTCCTCCCCGGGGCGCAGCTTGGTCTTGCGCTCGCGGAAGACCACGACCTCCTCATCGATGCGAATGTCGTCGACCAGGATGTAATGGCCCGATTGGGCCCGGTTAAAGAAAATGTAGTCGAGATGGGTTGCACACGCCGCACGAAGGGTGGGCCCGTCCTCGGTGGTCAGGCCGACATCCAGAATGCGTAGAAGCAGCGAGACAGGGATCGGTCGGCGATGCTGCACCGGGCTCGGGGCCACCCGGCGCCAAGCGCGGGTGAGGATGCGGGTGACGGGGTCGAAGGCCGAGAAACCCAAATGGCCCACGACATGGTGCATCATGGAAAACGCGGCCAGGTACTGGGGCAACGATCGCAAGCCCACCTTGCCCTCTTCCCGAAGAAAACGAATGTAGCGGTAGATCGACGCCCGCCAGGCGGGCAGCGCGACCAGGTCGTTCGCCTCGCAGAGTCGCTGGAAGCGAGTGAACTTGGCCTGGAGCGTCCGACAAGTGGCGTCCGTGTAGGAGGCCAGGAATTGGTGCTCCATCCAGCAGCGATCGTCGCGGAGCAGCCCGTCCAGGTCGGTGCCGTACAGGGGGTCATCCTCCACCAGCGGCTTCAGAGGCAAGGCATCCCCCGGATGGTCCCCCGGCGGAGAGGGCAGGGCGTCCGGCGGAATCACGCCTTCCTCCGATTCGGTCTCAGATGATGCGGCATCCACAGGCACGGGCACACATGAAAGGCCCGCAGGTTCCACCGCGGAGGGGGCAGAGACGCCGGGAGACTCGGGTCGCCGGGGAGAAACAGGTCGACTTGGCGAGGGATGAACATCTCCGCCCGGGCGATCGCTCGGAGCAGGCGAAACCACACCGCGCTCGGCCAGTCCGGCGCTAGCACCACCGCCTCCAGCTCCGGCCGCAAGGCAAGGAAGGACACGAGCCTCGCGAGGAGGCTCCACGGGGGATTGCACCAGGATTTGGTGCCGCTCCAGTCCTGCTGGAAAGCATCCACTCCTGCCGTACCGACGTCCCAGTACTGACTGTTGAACTGGGCGCAGAGGGCATTCCAGGCGGATGCGAATCGGTCCACAGAACAGGCCCCGAAGCTGCGGGCGACCTCCCGGAATATGCGCGGATGCAGGCGGTAGTCCTCCAAGGTCCGTATACGGGAAAGCCGGTCCGGCAGTACATTCTCGGCTGAGGGGATGTACTCCGGCTCCAGGAGAATCCGGCGCGCCGTACAAACTACCTTCAACTGGCGGAGGGGCCTCACGAGACTGGTGGCCCGGGTAATCATGGAAAGGATACAGTGCAAGACCACCTGGTTGTCCACCAACAAACGCACCCGCCAGGAAGTCGTCCCGGAGTACCGGCGAGGAAAGAAACTGAACAGTGCCAAGTATACGGCCTGCATTTCATGAACATTAATATGAATAAGGTCCCAATCAAAAAATCCCCTCGCAAGCATGGG